CTTACGACGCTTGCTTAATAGAAATAAGATTCCAATGCTGATTTTTTTAGATTCATAATTTTTTTTTTTTTTTCTATCGACTGCTTCACGATTATCCCACGATGCAATCATTGCTTATTATGATCTCCTTGGATATCACACTAGTTAGTAGATCGCAGCAGGACTTTGGAACTGAAATTCCTCTATGAGCCACCATGTGATAAAATTGCTTCTCCTTATAACTTTTATATTTAATAAACATTAGAAAGTTCTTCAAAAATCTAATAGTATACAGGGTGATTCTTTTATCATACAACATTCATTATTTCAAAAACTCTTGACTTTTTTCAAATTTTTTTTTTCAAAATTGTAGATCCATTTGTTCTAGAACAATTCAGGGTGATTTTTTTATCAAGAACCACTCATTATTTCAAAAAGTATCTATGTTTTGAAAATATTTTTTTACAAAGTTTCATGTTGTTAAAAAAACAACGTTTTTATTAAAAAAAATATGTTTTTTAATATTTTTATCCTTATATTTTTTGAATGACAACCTAGAGTTTTAATTTCATATTCCAAAGCAGAATATTTTTCTAAGTATTTTGATATGTAAAAATCGAGTTTTGGACGAGTAGATTATGAGTTATAAGTATTTTAAGTTTAGACAAGCGGAGTAGTGGACAAACATTTCTCCGTTTCTCATAACCACTCCACTCCGCCAATCTAAACTTTAAATGCTTATAACTCATAAACTACTCGTCCAAAATTCGATTTAACATAATTTTTTAGTAAAAACGTTGTTTTTTTAACATGAAACTTTGTAAAAAAATATTTTTAAAAACATTGATACTTTTTGAAATAATGAGTGGTTCAGGATAAAAAAATCACCCTGTATATTTTTTAAAATATTTTCACCCTTATATTTACCAGGTAAACCATTATCAACTTTTGATTTTTAAATGACAACCTMTACTTAAAATTTCATAAACTAAAAAGGCTATTTTTTCATTGAATTTTCATGTTTAAATTTTCATTTTTCGTTAATCCGTTTACAAGATATAGCCTCCCAAAGTTGGGCTGTGTGTTATAGGTGTATGTTAGGTGGTATTTACACACAAACACCATATAAGTGTTGTTTRATAAAAGAATCACCTGTATACAATAATATGTCACTCAATTTTCTCGGTGACCGTGGCGTATTTAATATGATATCTAAATATTAAGGTAACCAGTAACGAAAATAATGATACTATAAAATACGTATACGCTTCGTGTTTGTCTCGAGATGATGATATATATACATATATAATAGGTACCTATGAGTTATCACTAGTGTTTATTATATATTTAATTTTCGAGTGTGCCGTGGGAATGGGTAATCGCGGATACTGATGACTTTAGAAGGGTTGCAAAGCGAGACTGAGAACAATTTTCGATAATCGCATTGACACAGTCAAAAATAAAGTTCACAATGGTGTGATTGGAATATTTTTTCCTCACCATCGGTCTATCGAAATCCGGTCACGAAACGCGGTACCRCCATGCGATGCTACCAGGTATGAGGTATTAACATTGCAGTTTATTATTTCCAACGCCGTCGCACYGGTGCAGAACAATACAGGTTGGTGGATACTCGTGGTTATATATTATACATATAGCTTATGTTATTTTAAAAGCGGTGCGTTTTAATTTAAACTCTGTTTGCGGCGCTTAATTGTAAAAGCAATTAACAGCGCCATGGCGTAAACTTGTGTATCTATGCATTGCCGATCAAATAATGTGCAAATTGTGACGAGTTGTTGTTGTTCAATAGAAATTGACGCTCCGCCTGATTGTTTCTACGTCTTCTGCAGTAAAGCCGACCGAGCTTTGCACGTCCACCGACAAATCGTTTAAAAGTCAGAAAGTTTGTTCTAAGCAACATATAGTTACTAGTAAGTCGTTTGAATCAAATAACGGCAAATGTTACAGTTCGAGAAATAATGAAGTAAAAGTCGTCGAGCAAAAACGTTTTTGTTTCAATGTTCAATGTGATGCGTGTATAATTTATTTAATCATGTTGTATCATTTATTTTGATCCAAACGCTTGATCAAAAAGTATTTTTAATCTGAACACAATAGCTGTTTTCGGTTGGTATAATATTTTTCACGTTATTTTTATTATTATTTTCGTTATTTTAAATTTTATTTGTTTAAAATAGGAATGCGTTTTTGTAAAAAATAACTTTTTATACGTATATATTTAATCAATTATATTCAAAGATACTCATTTAAAAAAGAATTTAAAATACATATTTGAATATTTGKCAAAGAATACACGAGTATAATACAAACGCTTTAAAAAATATTTAAATACTTTCAATTGTTTAATAGAATATGTTTTTCTGTTAAATTAGCTGAACACATTTTAATGTATTAAGGTAATTGTATAGGTATAGAACATTTATTTTACGCTAAATGATATGACGGAAATAAAAAAAACTTAACGATTAATTTCGTTGAAGTATTTGATTTTCAGTTGAGTGTATTTCACAGTAAAATGTATATTATTTTAAAATGTACTATACATATTATTCTAAATTTTTATTTGTGTGATRCGAGTATTTAGTCGAATCTAAGATAGAAAATTTATAAACAAAAGAATTATTAAAGTATTTTAAAATAAATATTTTATTTTAAGTACAGATATTTTGATGGAGTTTTTAAAATAGTATGTTGATGCATTTTTTTTTTTTAAGTAATTAAAATACACATTGAGTAAATACTTAAGAAGTGTTTGAATATTTTTATTCAAATAACTTTGCTCAAGTAATCTACAACACTGGTTCTCTCAGAGATAAAGTTAGGACAGGTGCATTGAAATCTATTCGAGTGCAACTTGTTCTACAACAATTATTATAAAAGCATAACCGCATACTAATATGGTATAATAATATATTAGAATGAACTTTTAAATGGCATAGTACACACGAGATGATATAATACGCGCATACAACCTCAAACCTTCACCCATTTAAATATTATATAATATTACGACCACTCTTCTGAGATATTATAATCTGATAAATATTAAACCTTTGTAATTATACAAAAGATTAAATAAAAACCACTATATTTATTAACTTGGAAAAAATAATACATTCATTTGAATGCAAACAATTCTAATTTTATAGCTGGATCACTAAAAAATAGAAATAATATTAATAATTTTTTTTTGTTGGTACCTGCCACGCATATTTAAGGTGTGTTCAAAATAAAAGTAGCTTTAATCAATACAGACTTAAAATATTTTAAAATTCAATTATTCGATAAAGGATAGTTAGGATTTTCCTCGTGTTAAACAGTCTAAATGTGACCTGTAAAATAAAAAAAGCGGGCAAGTTGTGGATGTCGCTCTGCTGTACAGTAGGCTAAAGTGTGGATACTGTAATGGATGAAATTAAATTTGAATCCAATGATATTATATCATTGTATACGAAAAACGATTCTGAGTGGAGGTGGTTTATCTGTCTAGGATATATTATAGATTATTTTTCTATTTAAGATAGTTTGAACATTACCGTAATTTTTACATATTTAGTCTAAATTTGAAATTTAAATACTTATAAAAAAAAAATCGTGCCTATGTATTATTAATATTTTTCAATTGCCATTGTAACAATGTGTTAGGTTATTAAATTTTCAAACTTTTCTACCCAACAAATACATTTTTTTATCGATATTTATAGTAAAAAAAAACTAAAAAAGTTGAAAAATTAAAATGTCAGTAAACAGCTCAAAATATTTTGAAAATGTTATCATATATAGAAAAAGCCTATATAAACATTCGGAATTTCAAGTATCTGTGGTCATTTGTTTTACGGTTTTACACCAAAATAAGAAAACCGCTAAATGAGAAATCTAGTGAAAATCCAATGTTGTAAAAATTAAAATTTCAAACGCTCATAAAAA